AGGGCTACTGTACCTCTCTAAGCTGTCTAAGAATGTCACATATGTATCACACATTAAGGATTATGTAATAATTTCTAATTTAAAGGGCCATAATAACAATATTCTACTATTGTAAGACATCATTAAATACATGGTTTTAAAAATGGGCACATATTTACATATTCCTGATTTATTTATTTATTTATTGGGTTTTTCTTTTTTTGGAACTATTCAAGTTTAAGAAAACTTGAAAACTGAAAGCCAGTTTGGACCAGTGATTAAGACACTAGGATAGAAGGTGGGAGACCGTGAGTTCAAGTCCTGTTTTATGAAAACCAGCTGGGTGACGTTGGGCCAGTCACTCTCTCTCAGCCCAACCCATCATAGGGTTGTTGTTGTGGCATAAATAGAAGGAGAAAAGTTTATTAGATATGTTTGCCATCTTGAGTTATTTTCAAAAATAATAAAGATGAGATATAAATAAAATAAATAATAAAATAATGAAAAAACGAGAGAAAACAAAAGAAAACAAAAGTTAGTTTTGACTCCTGGCAACTATTTGGACAGTTTCCTGCAGTTCTCTTGGCAACAGTGATGGGATTCAATTTTTTTTTACTACTGGTTCTGTGGGTGTGGCTTGGTGGGTGTGGCTTGGTGGGTGTGGCAGGGGAAAGATACTGTAAAATCTCCATTTCCTCCCAATCAGTTGGGACTCGGGAGGCAGAGAATAGATGGGGGCGGGAGGAGACTCAGAGGTGGTATTTACCGGTTCTCCAAACTACTCAAAATTTCTGCTACCAGTTCTCCAGAACTGGTCAGAACCTGCTGAATACCACCTCTGCTTGGCAAGGTTATTTTAAAAATGGCTTGTCATGATCTCATTCTTAGGGCTAAGAGAAAATGACTGGCCCAAGGTCACCCAGCTGGCTTTTTGCCTAAGGCAGGACTACAACTTAGAGTCTCCTGATTTTTAGCCAGATGCCTTAATCACTACATAAAATTGACTATTTCCTGAATCCTATCTCTTTAATATCCAGAACAATACTACTTTTCCAATTTCTCAAAATAATTCCCTTATCAATACTCAACATGCGATGTATCCAAAGTTCTTTGAAGTGAATCAAATTCCAAATTTTGGAATATAATTCCACATCACAATAACATTTTTAACATTAAAAGATTTCCCCATATATCTACTGAGTTTCCCCGAAAATAAGACCATTTCTTATATTTTTTGAACCCCAAAATAAGCGCTTGGCCTTATTTTGGGGGAGGTCTTATTATTTTGGGGCATGTGGAGCAAGACAGGGCTCCTCTTGCTGTCTTACCTGATTTCCAGCTCTGTCTTCCTAACCCTTACCAGAGGAAATGGTGGGGACCAGCTGTGAATGCATTTAAATATTTTCAGGGAGGGCTTATTTTCGGGGAAGGCTTATTTTTCATGGGGTGGCTTATTTTAGCACATGTGCTCAAAAGCCCGATTGGGATTATTATCAGGGGATATCTTATTTTTGGGGAAACACAGTACACACACACACACACACACACACACACACACACACACACACACACATATATATATATGCATATTCTTTCTAGCCAGGTTCCACCTATGTAAGCTAAGTTGTTCTTCAGCCCTAGTTAGCTTACATAGGTGGAACCTGGCTAGAAAGAATATGCACATAAAAGCCTATGAAAAAAGAAAAAGACATATATATATATATATATATTAGAAAACTGTTCCAAAAAGATGCCAGTAAAACCAAAGACCAAACATATGAATTAATGATCTCTCAAATATTTAATATCACCATCAAAAAAATCGGATAGCTATCTTTTCACATTCATTTGTTGGGGTGTCTGATGAACCTGATGAATCAACTTTAGTCTTAAGTCCAATAAACCAATTTAACATTCTTTAAGCTATGTAACCATTGGTGTTTTTGTGATCATATGTTCCAGTCTTTAGTTCATAAATCATAAATGTCAATAAGTTTAACTGAAAATATCCTTTAATTTTTAATACAAAAATGATATATTATATTACACCAGAGAAAGCTATATGCAGGAATTGATAGCTTCAGCAAAGACTTAGAAAGATCTTGACAAATGAAAAAGGGGGGGGGGAGGGAGAGAGGAGATAAGAGAAGATATGATAGGTAGCTCTTAAAATTTAAAGGTATTGTAACCAAGGCTGTGAGGAAGGTGGACATGCAAACTAAAGGCTGCAACTTTTGTATTTTCTGTTGTAATGTCTGGATTTGAAAGCATTTTCTAACGCTGGCATACTTTGCTTATTAATCCTGTTTTCTTTGTTGCTCTTCAGAGAAAATCCAATTTCCAGTTATGAGAAGATTGAACTCTTCTTAAACATGTGGAAAATCTCCATATAGATATAGATGAGGCTGTCCTTTTTAGACCTCCCCTAGCCAATTTATGAAAGATACTTAGGCTAGTATATTTATCCCTATTCTCTTCTTCACATGAGAAATCATATGATGTATTCAATGAAAGTCTAGCATTTTGTTTAGTGGCCATGTATCCTCAGTTACATATGCTTCACTTTTCTTTTCTTTGGTAATGCTGCAGATCTTTGTCATGTGTGCTTAGAAAGAGAGAGACAAATAACTTACACTCTGAAATTGTTCCTTCTCATAGAGATCATTTATCTCGCTACAACATTCCATTAGACTTGGATAATGGCAAAACTCTCATATCTGTTCTCACACAATGACTTGAAATAATTGCAATTGGGAAAATCAATGAAAATAATATATTCTATTCTCCTCATAAAACAGGAAGAATAACCCCCTGTAGACTACATTTGCAGACCATTCAGCGTCTTCTATAAGGCTTTATTATGCCACATCCACCTGAGTAATAAAATATGGATTTCTATGTATCATGTGCATTCTTTGTATAAGCTTGCTAAACAGAGGAAGGATTAAACATTTCATTTTATAAAAATGAAACCTCTGGGTAAGTTTTTATAACTTCTGGGTAAATTGGTAGATTTTACATCTTTGTGTCAAAGATAGGTATTTAATCTATCTAAATAGCTCATAGTTATTTTAGGAAAGATAGAATCTGCTGAGTAACTAAGTATGCCTGTTTGAATACCATACACCAACAATACAAACCTACTTATTCAGCAATAAGTCCTATTTTTATAATGGGGGATATGAGCATCTGTTTCTTGTCATCATTACATCATTGATGCCTTTAAACTATTTAGTGTTGCTTTGCTTTGCAGAAAGAATGCACCTATTTATTCAGAGTCTCCTAGATGCCTAATGAATCCAACAGGTTTTAGAAAGTGCTTGGGAAGATTTTGGGGAATCAATGGACAGTTTGACTAAAAGCGTAGTCACTGCTTGGAATGAAATGGAGTCATCATCCTTGGACTGAATTCTTCCCGGTCAGCCTCTCCTATATGTTGATCTCAGGGCCTTCTTCATTTATAGAGGAGCTCTGGAAGATATAATGATTTTATTTATTTATTCATTCATTCATTCATTCATTCATTCATTCATTCATTCATTCATTCATTCATCTTATATGCTGCCCTATCTCACAATGGACTCAGGGCGGCTCACAACAATAAAACACAAGCCACAATAAAAATAAAGACTAAAATCTAAAAAATTTAAAATTAACCCATTAAAACCCTTAAAACCCCTTAAAACCCCGTCATCAGACCAGATCAAGGGATTTGAAAAACCAAGTTTTTAATTTCCGGCGGAAGGTGCGAAGGTCAGGTGCTAGTCGGAGCTCCAAGAGGAGTTGATTCCAGAGGGTGGGCGCCCCAACCGAGAAGGCTCTACTCCTGGTGGCTGCCAGCCGCCACTGTCTAGCCGACGGCACCCTGAGTAGGCCCTCTCTATGGGCGCGAACCGGGCGATGGGATGTTGTTGCTGGCTGTAGGTGGTCCGCCAAATATCCTGGTCCTAAGCCATGTAGGGCTTTATAGGTCAACACCAGCACCTTGAATCTCACCCGGAGGGCAACCGGTAGCCAATGCAAACTGCGCAGGAGGGGTGTAACATGGGAGTATCAGGATTCTCCCATCACAACCCGCGCGGCCACATTTTGCACCAGCTGAAGCCTCCGAGTGGTCCTCAAGGGCAGCCCCATGTAGAGAGCCTTGCAGTATCTTAATGATATAAGATAGGGGTGTCAAACTGGATTTCATTGAGGGCCACATCAGGGTTGTGTTTGACCTGAAAGGGTGGCAGGAGGGTGTGGCCAGGGTAGGCATGGCTAGCTTGATGTCACTCGTGTCAGAGGCGCCTGTGGTGGCCCAAGTGCTTTGCCAGTGAAAACAGGCTCCAGAGCTCCATTTTCAGTTACTCCTGCAACCGTCTGACAGTGAAAACAGAGTCCTCCCAAGCTCCATTTTTTGGTGACAGAGGCACTGTGGGCCGGTTCTTTGCTGTTTCCAGGGTGACCCCGTGGGCCAGAACTAAACATTCCATGGGCTGGATCTGGCCCATGGGCCTTGAGTTTGATGTAAGAAATGTCTAAAATGAACATGTCTTATATCTTTGGAGAGCTTCAGATGGTGGTGATGTGTGTATCCTGACTGCTCTATACGTAGAACAAAGGCATGGGCTAGAGAGTGTTAGAACGATCCTTTATTAAGTAACAACCAACTCGTAACAACAGGAAAACAGAACAGCACAATTTGGCTGACAGCGGCTTAAATAGCCGGCTGTCAAAAACAGAGCGACCAATCGGAGGTCGCGCAGCTTCCCGCTCAGCAACCCCGGAAGCTTCAACCAATCAGGAACGGGTAGCAACATGCGAAACCATACGTCAACTTGCTGAGGACTTAACACCCCTTCCCACCAGTACAGTGCATGGTAATCTTTTAAATACATAGGCCGGCGTTGGCTCCGCCCTGATCTCTGCAGTTCAGGGCCAGCCTTTGGCGAAGACGGAGCCGGAACGCTGTCCTCGTGGGAACCATTGGGTTGCGATTGCAAAGTGGGCGGCACGACAGCTGGCGCGGGAGAACCGAATCAAGCAGGTGAGTGGACCAACGAGAACGCATCGGGTTGTAGTCCGATAGCAGGTGAAGTAGGTGAAGGAGTATTGCTGGTTATGCGCGGTGGCCTCTCGTCGCCCGCTGACGTTGCCTGCTTACAGGGAAGGTCTGTTGTTAAAGGCATCCTCCTCCGCAGTTGGTTCACGTGCCGCCTCCAGATGCGACCATCTTCGAGCTGGACCCTATAAGAGTAGGGTCCGGTTAATTGGCATATGTGGCCCGGCACCCATTTATTGTCAGTCCCGAAGTTTTGTGCATAGACAGGGTCGCCAATCGTGAATGCCCAGCAATGGGGCGTGAAGCCCTTTGTGATTTCAGGTGTGTAGGCAGGGTGTAATCTGTCGAGAACTGTCCGGAGTCGTCGGCCCATAAGCATTTCAGCCGGGCTCGTTTTGGAATCTGGGCACGGGGTTGTGTGCTGGGCTAATAAGTATTGGGCGATTTTCTGATGCCAATTAGTGGTGCCCAGGCGGCTAAGCGCCTCTTTAGCCGATCTCACGGCCCTTTCCGCCCATCCATTCGCGGCCGGATGGAAGGGGACCATCGTCGTATGGCGAATGCCCAGCTTAGCCACAAACCGTTGGAACTGTGCCAACGTAAACTGAGGTCCATTATCGCTAACTATGGTATCGGGTAGACCATGCGTCGCGAATAACCCTTCCAGCACCCGGATGACAGCTTCGGTCGTCGTAGAATGCATAAGAGCTAATTCTACGCATTTAGAGTAGGCATCTACGACGACCAAGAATGTATGACCCTGGAAGGGGCCAGCGAAATCCATATGGATTCGGGCCCATGGCGCCCGGGGAACCTCCCACTCCCTGGAGGGGGCTGCCGGGGAAACAGGCCTGGACGCTTGGCATTGGGGGCACGTAGCCACCCACTGCTCAATATCACCGTCCATGCCGGGCCACCACACATAGCTGCGGCCCAGCCCCTTCATGCGGACGATTCCCGGATGAGCGTTGTGTAGGTGGGCCAGAACGGGGCACCGCAAACCCTCAGGGACAACGACCCTATTTCCCCAAAGGAGACAACCCCTTTGGGTGGACAGCTCATTTTGCCGTTGGAAAAAGGGGAGGAGATCTGCAGGTGCGGGACCCTTAGGCCATCCCCTGCGGACCCAATCCAAAACCTTGGAAATGGCAGGGTCCGCCAAGGACCCAGCGCTGATGTCTGAAGCAGTCAGGGGAAAATCGAAGTCCTCAACGAGGAGGACTGATGAGGCAGGAGCCAGATCAGAGGCCGGGGTGGGCACCGGGCACCGGCTCAAAGCATCGGCATGTGCGATGGCTGAGCCAGGCCGGTAAATCAGGTGATAGGAATACCCGGCCAGAAACTCCACCCAGCGGGACATGCGGGGCGAAATCATGACCGGGGTTTGCCGATCACCGGCCAGCAACCCCAGAAGGGGCTTGTGATCGGTGACCAGGGTAAAGGAACGGCCATAAAGATAATTATGGAATCATTTGACTCCGGCGACAGCCGCCAGAGCCTCACGATCCAATTGGCTGTAGTTCCTTTCCGGAGCGGAAAGGGTATGGGAATAAAAGGCGATTGGCGCCTCGAGGCCTGTAGGAAAGACGTGACTCAAAATGGCACCAATGCCATAGGGCGAGGCGTCGCAAGTCAAGGACAAGGGTAAGCTCTCGTATTGGACGAGAACTGCCTCAGACGTCAGCGCATCTTTGACAGCTTGGAATGACGTAGCAGCAGCGCGACTCCACCCCCAGGGCGACTTAGCATCTAGGAGACGGTGGAGGGGCTCGGCAAGGGATGCCTTATGAGGCAAAAAAATGGAGTAAAAATTGAGGAGCCCTAGGAACACCTGTAGCTCCGCCTTGCAGGTGGGCGTGGGGGCGTTTTTAATAGCCGTGACTTTGGAGGGGGTAGGGTGGATTCCCCGGGCGTCGATGAGGAACCCCAAGAATTCCACTTGGGGAACTCCTATAGCGCACTTTGATCTCTTAAGGCGGAGGCCGGCGCTGCGCAGACGGCCAAAAATGGTCCGAAGCTTGTTTAAGAGGTCAGCTTGGTCTCCAGCGGAGACCAAGACATCATCAAAATAGGGTACCACCCCGGGAATTCCCTGAAGCAATCGTTCCATGATGCTTTGGAATATTCCCGGGGCGACACTCACTCCGAACTGAAGCCGGGTGCATTTAAACGCACCCCTATGAGTGACAATGGTTTGGGCCATGGCCGTCGGCTCATCAACTGGTAATTGTTGATAAGCCTGGGCCAGGTCCAACTTGGCAAATACCTTGCCGTGACCCAGGGAGTGCAGCAGGTGCTGCACCACTGGCACCGGGTACGGGTTGGCCTGCAACGCCCTGTTTATGGAACATTTATAGTCGGTGCAAATTCTAATTGAGCTGTCCTGCTTTAAAGGAATTACTATAGGGGTCTCCCAAGCTGAATGATCCACGGGGACTAGTATGCCCTGAGCCACTAATTTGTCAAGCTCTGCGTCAACGCGCGGGCGCAAAGCTAGAGGCACTCTCCTCGGTTTGAGGCGGACTGGCATCACCTGAGGGTCCAAATTAAATGATATTGGCCTACCCGTGTATTTACCCAACTGGTCTGAGAACACATCAGCGAACTCACGGGCCAGAATAGATGGAACATCTGGGACTACCCTATGCACTCCAGAGATGGACAAATTTAAAGCGGCAAACCAATCTAGTCCTAAGAGGGTAGGGCGGGCATCTCTAACCACAATTAGTGGCAATTTACCAGAAAACGAGCGGAAAGACACCATGAAATTATCATATCCCAGAGTGGGAATAGCCTTTCCTTGGTAGTCCTTTAAGAGGACAGGGCACGGCTTGAGCCGGCGGCGGGACAACCCCGGCAACAACTTAGAGAGGGTCGCCCACGCTATGAGTGACTTGGAGGACCCGGTGTCCACCTCCATTGTACAGGCCGACCCCTCCAAACCCACAGTCAGGAAGAGCTTATTGGCAGAGGCTGAAGGAGTGGCGTTGCTCACAGCGATGTCAGACGGGTCCTCGTAGCGGGTGACAGCGAGGCAATCCTCGCGGCGAGCAGGCACTTTCCGACCACGGCGGCGCTCCAGGGGTGGCCCAGAGGTAACATCGGACATTGGGGCTGGTGCTCTGCAGACCCTCGATAAATGGCCCCTCTTCCCACAGCGGCGGCACACGATGGTCTTGAAACGACAGTCGGTTCGGCGATGGTTGCCGCCGCAGCCCAAACAGGTGTCCTGCGCAAACTTAAAAAGTTTGGTGGACCCGCCGCGCTTCCGCTGAGTTGCCTTGAGGCGGCTCACCTCCCGTTCCTCGTCGGAGGACTCTCCCTGGTCCGAGTCCTCGTAATGTACAGACAGGGGTTTAGGATTTGCTAGAGAGGGCGTCTGGTAACGGTGGATTTCAGCGGCTGAGCGACCGGACATTTCGGCAGCCCTGGCCTCGTCCAGGGCGACTTGGAGGGTCAGCTCAGAGCGAGCCAAAAGGCGTCGTTGTAACTTTAAGTCCTTGATACCGCAAACCAGCTGGTCTAACAACATCTCGTCCAAGTGGTCGCGGAATTCACAATGGAGAGCTGCTGAACGCAAGGAAGCCATGTAATCGTTCACGGATTCACCCTTTGTCTGTGAGCACTGCCAGAATGCATGGCGCCGCGCGATGTGAGACAGGGTAGGGGAGAAATGGTTCTTTAATCTCTCCACCAAGGTCTCCCAAGGAATATCAAAAACTTGCTGAGGTGCCGCTAGAGCCCTAGCAGCGGCAAAAATCTCGCTCCCACAGGAGCTGAGGAAATAACCCCGTTTGCGGGCGCTAGAAAGTTCAGTCAGAGCGTTCGCTTGCAAAAAGCACTCAAACCGTTCCATATAGGTGTCCCAAGTCTCAGAGGCAGGGACAAAAGGGGAGAACGCCGGTAAGAAAGTAGACATGGCAGCTCAAAGGGGTGGCGGAGGTTTCCACAGTCAATTTTACCTCAGAAGTACACCACCGATCCCACCCTCGTTGCCAGTGCTCTATACGTAGAACAAAGGCATGGGCTAGAGAGTGTTAGAATGATCCTTTATTAAGTAACAACCAACTCGTAACAACAGGAAAACAGAACAGCACAATTTGGCTGACAGCGGCTTAAATAGCCGGCTGTCAAAAACAGAGCGACCAATCGGAGGTCGCACAGCTTCCTGCTCAGCAACCCCGGAAGCTTCAACCAATCAGGAACGGGTAGCAACATGCGAAACCATACGTCAACTTGCTGAGGACTTAACACTGACCCTTCTTGATCTCTCATCAGCTTTTGATACCATTAACCATGGTATCTTTCTGGACTGGGTTTGGAGACTGGGAGTGGAGAACACTGTTTTGCAGTGATTCTCCTTTTTCTGTGGCTAATACCAGTTGATATTTGTGGAGGAGGAGAATTCCAGACCTAGGCCCCTATTATTTTAGGTTCTCAGGGCTTCAGTCCCTCTCCTCTCTTATTCAACATCTATATGAAGTCACTGAGAGAGATAATCTGCTAGCATGGGGTATGTCAAGTATGTCAATGATACCTGATTATACATCTCTATCCCCTGCCAGGCAAATGATGTTGTTCAGATGTTTCAGTGCCAGCAGACTGTGCCCACCTGCATGGGAAGGACCCGTTTTCAACTCAAGCCTAAGTAACAACTCAACCCAAATGGTTGTGGGTTTTGGGTTCCCTGGGTTCAGGCGAGTTGATATATTTGTCTCTGGATGGTACCATTCCCCCACATACACTTGGCATACAATTTAGGAGTCCACTTGGACTTGAAGTTCCTGCTAGAAAAGCAGGTGGCAGCTATGGCTATGGAAGGGCTTTGCACAAATCTATATTGTGCATTCATTGTGCCTATTCCTGGAACCTTTGAGAGCTGTATGCAATGAAATTTCATTTTAATGTATGCCGATTAGTGTACATTCAAAATGACAATAAAATCTAAGTCTAAGTCTCTAACAGGAGGCCTTGCTCATAGTCACTCATGCTTTAGTCATCTCCTGTTTGGATTTCTGAAATCTACACACAGCTATTCTTGAAGACCAGCTGGAAGCTGCAATTGGACCAGAATGGAATGGCACATACTGTTTTGGGTGTCCTGTTGTTGTGGCCCGTCAGCAGCCTGTGCAGCTAGTAGCTGATTCCGACAGTAAGGAGACTGGTGTGGTGCTGCGCCAGCAGCCTGTGCAGCTGGCACTCGAGTCAGACAATGAGGAGGCTGGAGAAGATGTGGTGCCAGAGGCAGGGATTCAGCCAGGGCCTTCAGAATCTCCAGAAGCTCCCATAAGTGAAGAGGAAGAAGAGGAGGAGCCTCTTCTCGATGCACGGGCGCGCAGAGCTGCCAAAAGGCAGGAGTGGCTCCTCAGGAGGAGGTCTCCTTGAGAGTAAGGCTTGGGGCTAATTGGCCACTCCCTTAGCCTATTTAAGGAAGGACGGTGACTGAGGCAATTTGCAGGGAACAACTTCATTCACTCTCCTTCACATCTTGATCTTAGTTCTCTTATCAGTTTCCTGCAAATTGCTTCTGGGCTTTCTGCCAACCATAGTAAGATTATGATTATTTATTCTTTGGATTCTTGTAGGCTGTTAAGAAAGTTAACTAACAGCCTTTGTTTGAAAAAGACTGATTTAATTTAGTAAACTAAGGTTTGTACAGACTTTGTGTGTGCTGCGTCCTTTGGGGTCCGTAGTTGGGGCAGAACACCTGTGGTTCATCCAAGTAAAACCATTCCTCCATGAGTTGCACTGGCTTCCAGTTGCTTTACAGGTACAATTCAAGGTGCTGCTTATCATCCTTAAAGTCCTAGGTGGTACAACGCTTGTTACTTGTGAGACTCCATCTCACTACAGGTAGTCCTCCTGTAAACAACTAAGTAAACAGCAGTTTACTTAGTGACTATTCAAAGTTACAACATCACTGAAAAAAAGTGACTTAAGAGTAGATCATGTTTTCATACTTTCAACCATTGCAGCCTCCTGTGTGTCATGTGATCCAAATTTGGGTACCTGGCAACTGGTTCATATTTATGACAGTTGCAGTGTTCCAGAGTCACATGATCATCTTTTGCAATAATTCGGACAACCAAAGTCAATGGCAAAGTCAGATTCACTTAACAAGTACAGCGATCCACTTAATAACTGTGCCAAGGAAGGTTGTAAAATGGGTTAAAATTCACCTAGCAACTGTCTCACTTAGCGACATAAATTTTAGGCTCAATTGTAGAACTAATTGTGAAGAGAATGTAGTGTGTGTACTTGTGGGAACACAGCCTAAATCAGCTTTCCCTACCTGCTGCCTTCCAGATGTGCTGGTACTATAACTCTCTGATTTCCTAAGCAGCTAGAAGGCCCCATAAGCAATTTTATAAACCGGATGTGTACAAAAATGTCCTTGGAGCTTCAATTTTAAAGCCATTTAGATAAATTTGTGAATTGAATGAACGTTTAGATTTGGAACAGTTAGTAAAAATGATTTTGATTTTTCATACATTTTGATGACCTAAGTAGCAATAGCACTTAGACTTATACACTGCTTCACAGTGCTTTTACAGCCCTCTCTAGGTGGTTTTACAGAGTCAGCATATTGCCCCCAACAATCTTGGTCCTCATTTTACCCATCTTGGAAGGATGGAAAACTGAGTCAATCTTGAGCCTGGTGAGATTCGATCTGCCAAATCGCAGTCAGCCGGCAGTCAGCAGAAGTAGCCTGCAGTACTGCATTCTAACCACTGCGCCACCATGGCTCTTAGTAGATCAATAGGTCCCACTATGGTGGGGAGGTAACAGTGTTCTGATAGAATTGAATAAAAATGGGCAAGCAAAATTAGTTTTCTAGGAGGGATCAAGCACAGAGAATCAGCACCACCATGGTGCCGAAATGCTTTTTTTCCTAATTGATTCAAAAATCTAAATCAAATTGACCAGGTTTCAGTTTTATACAGACTTGGTACAGACTCTAGAATGGATGATTCATTAAACCATTGATGGCCTGATCAAAGCTGAGCTAGTTTACTACACATGCATTGAACCCGATAGAGTAGCTTTAAGAACAATTGAAATTCCTGCTTCTCTGTGGAGTCTGATGTAGAAACCAGAAATTCCACTTCCCTTCTTTAATGTAGACAGACATCTAAAAACTGTGATATCTAAATGACATTCAAAGACCATAAATTACATTCTAGCATTGACCCAGAAGAAAAGGATCACAATTTGTCTAGAGCCAGCTGAAGTGGATTGACTACTAAGTCACTGTGATAATTTCACTGTATTATAATGCTATGTTATAAGTACATCAGTTAAGATGGTCGATATAATGGCTGCAATTTCTTTTTCAAAATTAATCAGTTCAATGGGTTCATAGCATATGATCAAATATTATTTCATCTGAATTAAATTGGGATAATTGTATTAAGATATTGATGCTGATGTTTCCCCCATTCACATTGATTTCCATTTGACATTTTAATTATTTACTTCATTTCCTATGGGTTTCAACACTAATGGGAGATAGTGTGATGAATCTTTAGAATTGACCTTTCTAGGACCTCAATATTCCAGCAGATGAGATACTGACAGTTTATTTGCACATAATAATATAATAGTCCATATTTATATAAAACACCTTTTGGCAACATGAGAATAGCTTATTAAACTGAACTTGGAAAAAAATTTGAAGAGTGGTTTATGAGATCTATTAAACAGCCATCACTTCCCACTTTAAATTAACTCAAACAAATTAACACAAGAAATGTACATTTTAATTCAGCTTATTCAAATTGGGAAAAGCGCTTTGACATTTACAATTGTATAGTTCAGCTTTATTGATATACTCAAAATGCCACGATAGTAACTGAATTTTGAATTTATTAGCCAAACAATATTAGTATGTCTCATCTCTGTACTGGCTGTACACTTCTGTCTATTATACGCTCATAAAGAATGCTGGGTTTTTTTTTTCAGTTCCCAACTTTAATTTTTGGAATTCAGAGAGGACAAAAGTGGGCTTTCCCTTTCATGCTCTACTCTACTCTACTCTACTCTATTCTACTCTAAATTGTTAGATTTATTCATGTAAGTGTAAGGTCACCATTCAAGAAATTACATACAAATATGTCCATAACATTATTCCCTTCTGGATACAGCAAAATTAAGTGAAATAAATGAATAATAAATAGAAAATAGGGGAAAAAAGATATGAGCTAAGAGAAAGGAAAATGAAATACCATTAAACTTAGTTTGCATCAACACAATTCACTACACTTCTTGCAAATCATTCTTGCTTCTATCATGTTTCTCCACTTCATATATTACCTTTTGTTCTTTCAAATAATCTGATTTACCAAGGATATCATCATTGGACCATGATTTTATTGATCTTCCTCTTAATTTTTTTTTTGTATATTTGTTTTGAATGTAATCTTCATTAATTCTCTCTATATAACCAAACAACTTGAACTTATTTCTTCCCTACTGACCTCTCACTCGTTATTTAATCTACATCCACATATTACCTTTTATTCATGGCTCTGTCTCTTGTTTTATTACATACATTTCTTAAGTATCCCATTTCAACTGCATTCAATTTACTTTTATGTTTCTCTCGATATAGGCTACTCTAACTTCCACGTAATAAAGTGGACAGAAACAGGCATTTGTATACAATTTTTGTTCCTATTTAAATATTCATTACTTGCAAAGGACACCTACTTTCCACTTTTTCCAGCTGTTGCACATCTTTTCATTTCTCCATCTATTTTCCCACCATTGCTAAACATTTTACCAAGTATACAAGTTCATATGCTTGCTCCAGTTTGTTTTTATTTTTATATTTTTTTTTGCTGTTTATGAATAAGTTGCAATCATTCACTCAAGCACAGCCAGCTTGATTTCAATCCACAGATTTAGCTAAATTATAAA